TTTTTTTGTCTGACTTCAGAAAGACACAATCAAATATACAAAAAATTAATAAGAAAAATAATTCAAATACAAAAAAACAAATTGTCTGTTTTTTTTAATGTTTGAAAGCATAAACAATAGATTGCTTCATTGGATTGTATTGTTGATGTATCATAATTTATTCTTGATTTTTTTTTTCATTTCCATTATTTGAATTTATATTTCGTTGTACAAGTTTTTTTTCTATCACGTTCATTGACTAATCAATTTTTCACTTTGTTCAAAATTTATCATAAATTTTTATTTCTATAATGAACGATGAGATCCTGAAGATAAAATAAGATATTCGATAGTGTTTTTTTGTTTCTGATAATAAAATTTACTCGCCTATTCTCCCAATATTATTCTTAAGAATATTTTTGATACATATATTCGTGTACATCTCGATGAGCTCTATCGAATCATATAACAATATCGCAATTGATTTTTCAATTACTGACGCCTTACTAAAAGTTGCTTTCAGTATTTTTTATAGATTTTAAACTTCTAAGATCTGCTGTTTTCGATCGTACTTAAAATGTTATCTTTTTTTTACAAGATTCAGAAACACACACACTCTATCTTGATATTTTCTTGCATTGTGAATAAATATCAAGTTATCGAATTTGTGATAATTTACTAAAATCAATTCCATTATCTAGATAATCAATAAATGCTCGTATATAATGATGAATAGCTGTTTTATTAGTTAATATATTCAGTTGATTAGTTGCTGTTGTTATTGTTAGAGTACTTATTGAAAAAAAAACATCTAAAGCACCATGAAAAAAAAACAATTTAATCTGAATATCGGTGAAAATTTAAGAAATTTCCTTAAACATATAAATAATCAATGAAATGGTTACAATTGAAAAAATTCCGAACAAAACAATAACTTTATTTGATGTCCAAACAAAACGACGTGGTTTAGCTTTTTTTACTGATGAATTTCGATTATTAGTTGGTGTTTTTTCAACATTAGAATTTGTTTGATTCTTTCGATTTTTTATTGAATTATCAATTTCAATCGAAGATTTTGATTCTTCAACTATTGATTGAACAACAGGAGGATTCGATGTTCTTGCTATTCGATTCTTTTTTAATTCAGCACATACTTCATCACATGGTAATCGATAATTTTTAATTGTATTAATTTCATAACATGGTAATTCTTTATTAATACGTTTGCATCCACAACGAACTTGAACTAATTGTGAACAATTGTTAACAGATGAACATGAATCAGAATGACATGAATAACTACATAGATGACCACATGCAAGCTAGAATAGAAAATTTTATTAATCTATCTTTAGATAAATATTACATAAATTATAATTATTTATCGAGAACATATAGTACTGGTGTAAAAGCGATTAGTGCAATTCCTGCAGGATTAAAATGTGAAACACGATGTAGCTGCTCTTGCTAATCACATGTAGATGACTTTATTCTATCTATTTTGGAGCACATTTCTGCTCCATCCTGTTTACTTAATCCTTCACAAATACAATAAGGAAATAGTTCATATATTATAAAAAGACGTTATTGATCAACAACGTCTGTATGATGGAAAGAGGACATATTGCTAAGGTGTTTATCACAGTATGGAGAAGGTGCAAATTTCTACCACTCTTTTTAGATCATGTTTCACAAAATATACTAAGCATTTAACACAAATCCAAATAGTGGTTTCAATAGCCAATGAAGTCCTCTATCAAATGCATTTTCATGGTTGGACTATAAGAGGAAGTTTTCTGGAAGAGCAAACTCTCAAGTTTTCAGGGCTCTAGAAGACTATGTGAATTTTTTTTTTTAAAGAGCGTAAAATACTAGACATTACCACATTTTCTACAACCTTCTCTTAAAAAGTTATAAGCATTAAAAAAAAATGTGTTCTTTAGTAATGCTCATCGCTGATCAAAAAATAATTAGACAAACATGTTCATTCATTTTTTAGCCTGTAGAAATTTGAAAATATTGAATTAGAATCAGAATTTTGTGTCCTTTGAGAATATGAGTTTAAATTTTTTTCAGAATTTCTGATTTAGAAGTTATGAGCTGATCTTTTAGAGGTCCATAAATTAAATTTTGACGGACTTTAGAGTGCATCAAAAAATGACTCAAAGTAGAAGCGATACTTATTTCAAATACAATAAATGAAAGAGCAAACATTTCTCAATAAAATACTATATTAATGACTAATTAGTTCTAAGTCATTCGTTAAAGACTTGCGAAATAAGCACGGCCACTCTTGATTCTGATATCACTTCGTCGAGAATAATTTTGCTTTTTATTTAATAGAAAAAGATCGGTAATATATCGTATGTATAGCAACAAAGAACGTCCATTTTCTCCATCGAAACTTAATTTACGAACCTCTAACTCCTAAACCAGAAGTTTTGCTAAAAAATTTTGAATCTATATTTGGATCACCGACTAACATTGCTAAAAAACGCATTTTTTTTGTTCTAATGTTTATAACTTTTTAAGGAAAGGGCGGCAATCCCTCATTT